ATCTCAGCTCACTGCAAGCTCCGCCTCCCGGGTTCACGCCATTCTCCTGCCTCAGCCTCCCAAGTAGCTGGGACTACAGGCGCCCGCCACCTCGTCCGGCTAGTTTTTTTTGTATTTTTTAGTAGAGACGGGGTTTCACTGTGTTAGCCAGGATGGTCTCAATCTGACCTCGTGATCCGCCCGTCTCGGCCTCCCAAAGTGCTGGGATTACAGGCTTGAGCCACCGCGCCCACCCGGCCCACTGTGGTTTTTCTTACACATCTCCCTGAGATGCCATGCTCCCTGGGTGTTATGCCCGGCATTTCCTGTAGGACTGGCCTAGAGTCACCCGCCCAGGAGGCGTGGGGTAGATGAGGTGAATGATGGAGGCAGAAAGACAAGCAGTGGCCTGAGGTGGAGCTGCCTGTGGGGGGCGAGGCAGAAGGCTGCAGACAGCCCCGAGTCCAGACCAGAGCCGTCTGCAGAAGGTAGTGCTGCTTCCCTTTGTCCGCAAGGCGCACAGCCCTCGGTCTCTATCCAGACAACTCAGTGACTACACCCTGGCTTCCTGTGATGCCTTGAAAAAGTGCATGAGTTCATCTTGGTCTAGGATTGTTGGAGGAGTCAGAAAAATTACCCCAGGGATCCTGAAGTCATTGGGGTGGAAAGGGGAAGGCCCCCGTGTCTGGCTGGCTCTCAGAAAATGTCTCAGGGAAAGAAGGTAAGGGACATGGCAGGTCCTAGACAGAATTGGAGTGAGAAGGGGGAAAAATGATTTCAAACTGTCAAGCTGGGGCGTAACCCAAGTTTCAGTTCACTTCAGCTCCCTGGGATTCTCTGGTTAATAGTAAGGGGAAGGAATCAGCCCACCCAGACAGCCCTCAGACTTTGCCCAGAAAGTCCTGGAATTATGTGTGCGTGTGTGTGTGTGTGTGTGTGTGCACGTGCTTGCACACAAGGATGCTAAGTTATGAGAAATTTGGAAGAGAGGACTCCTGAAGTTGGATTAAGTTTAACTTTTGCTCTGCACAATAGCCTGGTGGGAACATTGAGGGATGGATTATGATTGCCCCCTTGTGGAGAGAATGCTGCATGGCACCTGAGTGCCTCCGACTACAGATTCTTCCTTAAGGGGATGAAATTTGTCACATTTCTTTAAAGTCACACCTTTAAAACTGGACTAAGCCTTTTAGACACTGTACCAGGATACAAGGTCACAGGCCTGTTGATATTGAGATGTAAACCCAGAATATTCTCGCATTACACAGAAACACCATTGCAACACCAGCTACACTCCACATCCTACAGAAAAGCATTACCCATTTTGTGGCCAAGTTCCCGATGAGAGGCTGGACCTCTTCATCACATTGACTTACGCCGTTGCCTTTCCAGACTGGGCAGAGGGGCTGACTCCGCAGTGTGTGCCAAACAGCCAGTGTCTGATGATCCCGTTTTCCTGCTTATCACCTGAGCCGTGTCAGTATCACTTTCGGGTTTGTTGGTTGGTTAGTTGTTTCAATATGCCCTGTTTTCTACTTCTGTTGGGAAATATTTGGAGTTGAAATAAACCAGTGGGAGCTTGGGAGCCAGTCTGGTGGTTGACAAACTAACAGTGATAGAAAACAAATGACAGGTTTTCTGTGAGCATATGTCACAGCGGCTCGGGCCCACAAGGAGATAGAGGGGTACGTTTCAGGACATCATTCCAAGGGTTTCTGTTCAAGTGTGTTTAATGAGGAAGGGGAGGTTGTTCTCCCATAATGCCAGTGGCATTTCTGGTGCAACCCGGGTGTTTTTCTATGCCTCTTCCCATGCTGCCTCCCCACCCCCCCACTGTGCTCCGCCCCTTCCAAATGCCATGTCACAACAGCACTTGGATGTGTTTTTCTCAACTGTCATCAGCTCCAGCTGGCAGGACCAACTTCTTGAAACACAGGAAGCATCCAGCGGAAAATATTTTAATAAAACAGACTCCTCATAAAATATTGTTCGGGGGAGGGGGGAAGAAACCGACTCCACCAATCTGTCGGCATTGTATTGGGAGATGTGAGAAGCCAGGCTGGCAACAGGGGCCAGATCCTAATGGGCCTTTGTTGGGTGGTGGTTCCGTGTTGGGCACACAGACTCGGTGCCTGGCCCTTTAATCTGGCCTGAGTTTTCTTGAATCACAGATCTTCATCTCCACTGGGAATATCAAAGTGCTTGGGAAACTTAGAGGACCAGGGCGGCAGAAGGGGATGCAGGATCTTTGAAGTGGAGGGAAGAGATCCATTCCTCCTGACTTATTGCCCCAACTCTCACTTCCAATTGCACATTAAATAATCCCAGCACTTTGGGAGGCCAAAACGGGCGGATCACCTGAGGTCAGGGGTTCGAGACCAACCCCGTCTCTACTAAAAGTACAAAAATTAGCCGAGTGTGGTGGTGCACCCCTGTAATTCCAGCTACTCGGGAGGCTGAGGCACAAGAATCACTTGAACTGAGGAGGCGGAGGCTGCCGTGAACTGAGATCATACCACAGCACTCCAGCCTGTGCAACAGAGACTCTGTCTCAAAAATAAAATAACCAGCTCTATGGACAGCAAGATGGCGCTGATTGAGAGCAAGATTGTCTCCTGGAATAGCTGACTCTCTGGCCAGTCCACCCGTGAAGTTCATTTCTTCCTTCTCAGTGGATGTCCATCCCTCCGTCGTTCCATCTGTCCATTCATGCATTCATTCATTCAGCAAGTAACTTTGAAAACCTACTAGGCACAAGCACGTAATATTTTTTTTAAAGGAGGCCTTAAAAGGGAGTTCCCATGCTGACCCTTGGTTGACTTGCATTTTCCCAAAATGAAATTTTCCTGTGTCAAATTTTCTTTCTGAATCAACGGTAGGTTTCCTAGCCCCTTAAAACTGGCCGTTGACAATTGGAAGAAGACTTCAAAAAGATTTCCGGGGGAAACATTCCCTCTACTTTTCAGGTGACATTCCTTGGTTAATATTCAGTTACTAAATCTCTTCAAGAAGTACTGGCTACTTCCATTACTATTCAGAGCACAACTAGCTGATGGGATGCCCGGGGCTTCCCTGGGGCAGGGATCAGGGTAGGAGGGATCCTGCAGGAGAGGCTGTGGGTTAGACACCAGTCAGCAGGGGATACAGTGGAGCACCCATTGATTTCTAGGCCCTCTTGGGCTAGCATCGTTTCTTCCAGAGTGGGAGCTCAGGCTCAGAACATGGATTTGACCAGTCTTCCCAAGGTCACCCAGTTGAAAAGTGACCGGGCCAGCATTCACAATTCTTGATTTCATTCTCTCCATGACACTCTTGATGCTGTCCTTGGAACGGGGCCCTTGAGGGTCCGTCTTTAGGCTGGCTGTGCCCAGAGAGAGCTCCACATCCTAAAATGAGATGGCCTGTCTAGCAGGCCACCCTTCCTCTCTGGTTCCCTGAAGGCTGGAGTTCAGTCTGAACTGGATCTGTTCAGTCTTCTTACCACCAAAGAAACCATGTGTGCTCGTGCCTGACTGTTTCTTCTTGGGGAAGGAAAGAGAAATGACATTTACCAAACATCCCTTAAGATTGTCAAAGGTATTAGCTGGGCATGATGCCGTGTGCCTGTGGTCCCAGCTAGTTGGGAGGCTGAGGCATGAGAGTTGCTTGACCCCTGGGGAGTTGAAGGTTGCAGGGAGCTGAGATCATGACACTGCAGTCCACCCTGGGCCTCAGAGTGAGACCCTATCTCAAAAAATAAAATAAAAAAGATTGTCAAAGGTAGGTGGTAGCTTTCCCATTGAACAGACTGAAAAATTGAGGCTCAGAGAGACTTTCAGTAACTTGCCCAAGGTTTCCCGGGGCCAGAAAATGGTAGGATCGGCTGTCTGATGACAGAGGCCTGGTCCATTCTTCTCTACTATCCAGGCTTTCTGTTAAGACCTAATTATCCTCATGTGCTTCTCTGACTAGTGGGGATGATGGCTGTGGCAGTGAGGTTCACAGCTTCCCTCCTATTAAAAGTGGGCCATGGCCAGGTGCGGTGGCTCACGCCTGTAATCCCAGCACCTTGGGAGGCTGAGGAGGGTGGATCACTTGAGGTCAGGAGTTCAAGACCAGCCTGGCCAATATGGTGAAACCCCATCTCTACTAAAAATACAAACAATTAGCTGGGTGTGGTGACACATGCTTGTAATCCCAGTTACTAGGGAGGCTGAGGCAGGAGAATCGCTTGAACCCAGGAGGTGGAGCTTGCAGTGAGCCGAGATCACACCACTGCACTCCAGCCTGAGTAACAGGACAAGACTCTGTCTCAAAAAAAAAAAAAAAGAAATAAAACAGGCTGTGGTGGTTTCTGCGGGC